AGTCGACTGAAAGTACTTACCATCACTTCAAACGTGAGAATTGTTTAAGTGTTAAGGCGATTTTAATGTTTAGGCAGATAATACACTATCTACTAATACGTATTTGGACACCCATGTAGATACCGATATCCGAGGTCCTCATATATGTCATGCCCTCCACCATTAAATATCGTGTAGGAAATAATTTTGGCATTAGTGGCATGAAAAATGCCAATACGTACAGAGTTATCTGATTTCTAGAAAGGTGTAATCGTCGGGTATCACAGAAGTAACCGATCTTTAAGGAGTCTATCTGGTGAGCTGAATTACTCAAATTCGATAGTATCCTATGTGATCCAGAAGTGGAAGGTGAGAGCTGATTATCGAATGTTCTTCGAGTTGGCAGATCCGCGAAACGGGGAGATAAGGACCGACCGGTGCTGTTTAAAGAAATTTGATATAATCGCATCTAACAGATGGTTGTCATACTCCAGGAGTTTCAACAAGCAACCGTGAGTGTCGTTTCGAGGAATACCTTTCGTAATTAAGCCCATCTGCTTGATTTTCGTGGTCATGCTGCTGTCCATGAGCCTTTTATCACAAAGTCCAACCGCACTGTACCGTTAATGTGGTGCACAGCACGCAGTCAATGGACCATTGATCAATCGAAACGAGTTCTCTGGACAACGAATCAAGGTTTACCTTCTGTCGTTCCGATAGCACTGTCTGGGTCTGATATCTGCCTGGAGAACGCCTCCTGCCAAAATGCATTTTGCCCACGGTAAAGTTAGGTGGAGCCGGAATTATGATCTAGGAGTATTCGTCCTGATATGGCCTGAACCATTCGTAGAGATTCATAGTAAACTGAACACCGATGTCTGCTACACTATTTTGGATGACAGTGTGTTTCCTGCGTTGAGGCAACCTTACAGGTCGGACTCATATTATTTTCCGAACGACGTCGCCAGCTGTCATGTTGCGAGGTCCACCATGGACTGGTATGGTGACAATGGGGTTAACCGAATGGACTTATTTACTCACATCTCAGACGTGAACGCTATCGAGAACCTATAGAATGAGTTTTAACGCCAAATTAAGGGGTGCAACAACCGTCCAGTACCGGTAATAGAACTTATAGGTCTTCTCTAAGCCGAGCAGAAGAAAATTTTAGTAGCCGTCAACAAGGTTTTCCAGAAAGCATTTCTTGGAGGGTTGCAGCTGTAATTCCCGATCGTGAAGGCTCTACGGACTATTGAATTTTAATAAATTTTGTTTCTCTTTTGTATCATAGGTTTCCAAATATATTGCTGGCCATTAAAATTGCAACACCGTGAAGGAAAGCAAATACAAAGAAGATATTTTTTGTGCATACACAGTATGGCATGAAGACAAAATGATCAAATTTGTAAGCAGTCTGGAGATTAACAAGGGTACGAAATTAATATAAGCATCTGCCAGCCCTGGCAGATACAACGGCCCTTACACGGTTAGGCATGGAGTCCAACTGGGCTTGGATGACAGAAACGAGCAACTCATTATTTCTACTTCAAGTCTATACCAAACTTCATTGACCGTATTAGCTGCAGAAGGGTGGCGGGACAGTCTCTCAGCAACCCATGACCAGATGTTTTCAGTGGGTGACAGATTTGGAAACTGTGCAGGCCAGGGCAGCAGTTGAATACCCTGTGTCACGTGCAGCATGTGATCTTGCATTATCTTGTTGTAAATTGGCGTTTGGCAGGCCTCATAGATAGGGCACAACCACTGGGTGTAAGATGTCAGAAATGTACCTATCTGCGTCCGAATTACAGTCGATCTGAACTAAAGATGTGCATGTCGTGTACCCAGTGGCTGCCCAAACCATCACACCAGGTGCAGGGTCCCTATGACGATACCGAATGCAAGCAGTCGAAGTAATGGTCGCCGTGCTGATAGTCCACACTGCCGAGAGCGTCGATGCTCCGTACGAGCGAATACTGAGCGTGCAGCAAACATGCCCATTTCCTGACGAATGGTCCGTGATGTGGTTGTACGGTTTTGCGGGGCTGACCTCACAATATGTCTCTTCTCTCTTGCGTTAGTCATGGGAGGGCGTTGAGATATTGCATGCTGTTCAGTATGACAATTATCAACCCATTGATTCCACATTCGCATTACAGTGGTTGGATGTCGACCAGTGCGATGGGCAATATCATGGAACGATAATCCACACTCTTGATAGGCAACGATCCCGCTTCCGAATTCTGGCATTTGCTTGTAAGCATTTCTTCTTATTATTTGAGGCATAACACGATATTCTGAGCAAACTTTGACCTTACAAAGCGTTTCCCGAATGAGAAATCCACTAGACAACTTTTTTTTATGCAGTGCTTCAGATTTCGCTTCTCCTTCTTGCGTCGTCTAAATGCTCTGAAATAATATTAATCATTTGCATATCCTAGCCTCTTCTTCCTTTTACGTGATTTCAACGTTCGTCAGATAATTCCTTTATGGTGTTACAATTTTAATGGCCAGCAGTGTACGTATTGGTAGATAGAGTATACAAATACGAAATATTTATGTCCTGGATTACCGCGTTACTTCTTCACAGTTTCACCAAAGCTTTGGTGCTTCTCCACATTTACTGTCTGGTTGCATTTCCGAAGAAAGAAATGGAAATATGCGGAAGAGTACAAAAAAGTGAATTATTTATATCCGGGTGTTCGTCATAAGTCTTGTATGGTATATATTCAACTGAAAACATATATGAACATTTGCAAAATTTCGCAATTCCTAAAAAATGGCTCAGACACCATGTGCTACATAACTAATAAAGAAGACTTTTTATAAGCTTTTTAATTTTTCGCTAATTTTTCGTCTAGGCTCTGATAGTAATCTGAATTTTCAGATTGCAGTTTTTCCCCCTTTTCACATAATATTATTTATTATTATTGGAGGAAAATTATATTCATGTAACTATTTTAAATCTATAACTATATTACTTGCATTTCGTTAAATTAGGAAATATGCGCATTTCTTTTATTACTTAATTTTCTGTTGGGTTAAGCTCTTATTTAACTTAAAGAATCTTCAAAAACCACGGTCCACGGGGCGAGTGGACTTAAGTAGCGCATTCCTAGTAATTACTTAAGGATTCTACTCTTAAAGGTGGACGAGCTTCCCGGATTTGTGTTTTCGTGCTTTCCTCATGAATAATGCAAATACTGGCTACTAATTTCCGGTAAAACGCATCTCAGCTTAAGCTTACAGCTTTCAAATGCTTTCCAAAAATTGCATATTAAATAGTAGTCTGAAAGTTAAAATTATAGGCGAGAAATTAGAATTGCGAATTTGTATCACATTTGGGCAAAGTGAATTATTTGTCAGTGCTTTTAAGTGAATCGAAACACATTCATACAATTTCCTGCACAGCAGATCTAAAAGCTTTGAGAGAAAACTTGCAAAATGTCTTCTTCAGATTTGTTGAAGATTTGCAAATATACTGAGTCGTTCTAAAACGATATTTGACAATTAACATATTCTTTTGGAATCAATGTTTTTTGTATTGATATTGTTGAGTATCAAGCTATAATTCTATAAGTTTTAATGGTTCAAAGCGCACATTACTCCCCAAATAATGGCTATTTTTTTTTCTGTTCAAGCAATAATTATTTTTTTCTAGGAAATCAAGCTATTTTAGCAGTCAGAACTTATAAAATTAAGTCAAAACTGATATTTTTGTAGTCATTAGATTTTTCGCATTTATAAACATTAATTCTCTGGCATTTAAAAGTCCTGAAACATCAGGAATTAGCTACATATAAAAAATAACCAAGTACGTTCTATAACATATTTTAGCATAGCTCTACTAACAGATCATACCAATATAATATCCCATGATCCATTTCTCCAAATATTAAATCGCGCTCTGAAATTAAAACTGTGATTTGTTTCAACCAAACTCTTTCAGATAAGGCACATATTCAACTTTATAAGGTTCTGGGACAAGCTAAATATTCAACTATAACGATATATGGCAATATTTATAAAAGGCCAGTAATCCTATTTATTTCTTTATACTTTAACTGATAATTTCAAGTGTTTTCATCCTAGATCAGTGTGAAATATTTCTTTTTTCTCCGCTAATTTTGAAGCCTAGAATATTGATCTAACTGAATTTAAGAATGGAATTTGTACTCCATTTTGAAGAATTTATACATTAGTGAACGTCATCTCATAAATATTTCAATGACATTGAATGACTGATGAGTGTGATACAAAAGGGGGGTCAAAAAATGAATACACATGTCCATTAACAATAAATTAAACACTTGTTAATATTATTGATCAGGCCAAAATTTACTTACAAAAATTATTTTCCTTTTGTATTCTTTTTTGGAAAGGAAACCTGAAAAATCAATTTGTTTCATCACGGGGAAATCTGGCCCTACTTTGTCCATCACTATAACGCAATGGCGCACCCGCAAAGAATAATGTAATTCGTTATATCATCACTAAGAATCAAACTAAGATATAAATTTAGAATATCAGGTCTATGTAGCAGTTAAAACTGAAAATGACTTCAATATAGTTTCAATAAATAGCAACTTGAGTTGTAATATTGATCCATCATCAAAAGTCACAGCTTTCATAAAAATAGCTTAAATTAATACAAATGTATCTTTTGTACACTTTTCATGAACTCTTTTTATTCAAGATCAATTCGTTAAATTTAAAATCTTGTATTATTACAAAAGCATCTAGTGCATGTATTATTATTTGAGCATGTCCTAAAATATTTCACGCATTATTTTGCACGTTTTAACAGTCTATTATATACGTTATAATATTTGTATTAATAAAGTCATATATTGTTTTCATATGAACAAAAATTGTCCCACGATGGACGAATATTTTTAAAAAAATAAATATTTTTATATCAAATAAGAAGTCTTCAACTCAAAAAGAACTTTTTGAATGATGCACTTTCATTTAACTATGCAGTATGTCTTCCAGCTGATCAACCCATCCTTTATTTTTAGGTTAACCTCTTCTTCCTCTGCAATATAATTCGGGTCCTTGTCACTAAGTTACGAGCGACGCATTCTAACGAGCCCAGCCAATATAGGTAAGCGTGTTTTTATTGCAAATGTACATTTAAGTTTATTTAAAATAGCTCTCCTACACGTAAATGATTTTAGGGGGTAATGGCATATACTTTTAAAGCGTAAAATATATAAAGAGATATTAAATGATGAATAGACTCAAAGTATAGGTATATTTATTCATTTATAATGATTGACGCTAAGTGCGTTCCAATCGTCATTACATTTTTCATACAACCGCCCAGATGGTATAGCTGTCAGGGAAGCTGACTGCGATACCGAAGAACCCGGGTTCGAATCCCGGAGAAGGCATGGTTGTAACTGTCCGTCCCTTTATAGGAGGCGAAGTTTACCTGCCTATTAGGTGCCTCCATAATAAAGTGACCACCACGTCTGGCTCTAGAAGTGGCCAAGCTGAAGTTGGCTAAGCACCCACCATTGGTAAAGAAAGGAAAACAAAAAGCATTTTTCATGCATCATAAGATTATTTTAAATAATTTTGGCATCGTAATGTACTATTTTCAATGAATTTTGCGACTTTTTTCTTAACGAAATTTTTAATGTTTCAGATTTGATCGGTGAGTATTAAAAATTACTCCGTTTTTTCGGGTACACGTAAAAGTCTCGAATAAGAATTTTCACCCTTTAATACATATTTTTGGCGGACACTTAAATGGAGTATATTTATTTTCTAAGTAAATATTTTTATGCTTTCACTAACGTCCAAATATCTTACCATTTATAGAAACAACATATGCGGATTCATACACTATGAAGATAGAGGGAAGATAATGTTTATTTTCTTACTAGTCATTTTGAGAACTACTATTTTTACATTGAAACTATACACAAAGCTGATTAAACATGCTTTTGGATGAACCAATGCAAAAATGGCACTAGAAGTTATGCAAGCACTTAATGCACGGTTATAAATCAAAGGCTATTTTTCATTCATTTTATTACAAATCAAGCATTTTAAATGTGTTACGGCAGAAACGTTGGTAAATGCACAGAGTGTTTAACGTAACGTTAAGAATGCCGAATCAGATTTTCTTCGAAACAGAAAAAAGATAGCCTTCACAAATTCTCTTAAACTCAACTTTACTATTTGTCAGAGATTTAATATTGCGTAAGGAGACAGCTGAAATTTTAGGCTCAGTATTAAAATGATAAGGTCTGTTAGCTGGTGGAGCATCTATTTACTCCTATCTAAGTACGAAATATATTTATTTTCTTTTTCTACCGGGTGATCGCCCATTTTATTGCTGTAATTTTACGAAACTGATTCATAAGTTTGATGTGCAATATAAAAGCCAAAGATAAGAAGCTTTTACTGACGTCTCTAAAAACGTTTTAAAGCAGATCTTTTGAATAATGTAAACAAGTACCATGGCAATTCCATGGCTTTTCAAGAAAATATGAAATTTGAAATCAGTTTTACCGAAATCTCGCATAACATGCAATGATCAAAGGGTGAATGCTTTGTGGAGATCGTAAAATGTATACATGTATATGTGTACGTATATATATATATACACATACACATATACATATACATATATAAGACGTAAAGTAAGAAATTTAGAACTAATATTTCATAAACACCAGAAATGATTTATGTTCAAAAGCGGTGGTTATACGAAGAATAACAATAAAACGGAGCATTAATACCTCAAATAAAAAAAATTACTGGTCAGTAACTTATTTTACACATAATAAGTATATAGTGTTTTTTACCTTAAGATCTTATTAGCAAAAAGGAAAATTCTTTAATAGAGATTCTCTTAACAGTGAGTCTCACAAAATAGTTCTGGAAAGGTTTAAGCTATCATATTAATTATTAATTTTAATATCATACTATTTTGTCTATCCTGTTCGTAACTTCTACCAGAATGCAAATTAATACGTAAATATATACTTGAGCGCAGATTTCTTGAATCTCGGAGAGACTTTGGCTGAACTTGAGTGGTTACTTTAGTGTACTTCCCTGCTACTGAATTGATTTATTAGTTTTACCTTCGCTAATTGCTTTGAAAATAACTAACTTTTATCAGAAGCCTAAGTTGATTGTAAAATACTCATATAAATCTTCAATATCCTTTTTATGATATTCGTAAAAGTATATTTTTTTCTGTTTCCTAATTAGTATGAAACACGAGTACAATTGTACATTTTAACTTTAAGCTTGTTTTTCTTAAGACCTTTTGTGTAGTTAAATTGCGGACCAAATCCGCATTTCTACTAAAAACATAATAGCTGAAAGATATTAGGGTTATTAGAATATAAATACCACTGCAGACTAATGCTAGATGTTGTAATGTAGCTATGAAATAGACGAAACAAAAATGTAACAAATGACAAGAGCAATATAAGAATTTTTGTTATGTAAAATGTTATAATGTTCTGTATGTATATATATAGTATTTCCACTTTTTTCTTGATGACATTTTCATTATTATTGTTTTTGTTATCGTTTATTCACGTTTACTGGTTAAGCAACCATACACGCCAGGGAGGTTAAGCTAAGAGAAAATTAGCAAAAACTGCAATAAATCTTTGCATGATGGAGGAAATTAAGGCCATATTCAAATTCGAGAGAAACCAAAACCAGTAATTGTATAATTGCAATTTTTATAATCTAAATTTCGCAGGGCTGTAGTTTTTAATATTGCTATTATTGCTATAGTGTAATATATTTGGGAGCTAAAATAAAAGCTATAAATTTTTTACAAATTTTCAAGTTTAATCATTTTGTGTTTATAGCTATTTTCATTAGGTGCTTGCAAACATACGATTTGTTGGTTAACTACAAGAATTTAATTAGCAAATTCAAAAACAATAAAAATTCACATCTTAAATTTTCCAGTGCTTAACCCAGTCCACCAGCGGCCGAGCGGTAAAGTCGCTGAACACTGGTAGCTCGGTCCGAGGTTCGAATCCTGCGAACGGGCTGGCTGCATGGGTGTTTTCGTGGTTTTCCCCATGTGTAACGTGTATAGTCCCCTTAGAAAGTCTTCCACGAAGGCATCCCCCTTAGGCAGATAGCCCTCGAGGCTTTACCATAATCACACACACACACACACCTTGATATAACCTAGGTTTATATCAAGGAGATTTAATTCATTGCTCTCAGATACGTCTTAGACCCACCAGACCGGCCGCTGAGCACTGGTAGTTCGGGCCGGGTTCGAATCCTGATGAACGTACTGGCTACTTGATCAATATGTGATTTTTCCCATGTATAACGTGTATGCGAGCCAGTTTCCCTTGGAAAGTCCGCCAGGTAGGCATCTCTCCCTTCAGACCGATAATAGCCGCCTAGTGTATTACCGTAACCAAATAAAATAAATAAATTTTCAGTAACTTTCGATTTTTCTAAATGCCAGTTCTAAATTTTTTAAACCACTGAACATAGCCATTGGCGGATACAATATATTCTTCGTAACTACAAAGCAATATGGCCTCAGCTTTTATAAGAGTAATTTTTCATTGATGCACTGTATCGCGTTCCATTTTTGGTGCGATGAAAATAAGTTTGCGTTCCTATTTAACTTAATTGATTCTAAAAATTAAGTTGGTAATTAAATACTTATGAACAAGGAAACGAAACTTTCAGTTCGTAATAATTTTCACCTATTTACCGGCTCATGAAATTTTCGAAGTGCATTAATATTAAATAAAATTTTGAAAATGATGATACCATCGCATTTCAGAAAAGCTGTTCGAGCGACTTTGGTGCTTGTTCCTTTGTTTGGACTACAGTTTTTCTTAGTAATCTACAGACCCCAAAACGGTCCTTGTGGATTCCTGGAAGCTTACACGTATTTCAGTCATTCCCTGGATGGACTTCAAGTAAGTACTTAAATAAGAATAACTGTACGAAAGAAAATATTGTGCTTTATAATAATGTGAACTGAATAATATTTTTAAAAAGAAACAGTTTGTTGAAGGATAGATAAAATCAATAATAAAAATGATGCTGAATATATATATTGAAACATAAAATATTTTAATATTATAATAAAATATTAAATTCCTTCGATCACACGAGGATTTAATATTTGCAGTGTTTCTGGTTTCATTTTGATGAATTTATTTGTAATGTTCGACACAATGCTTATGTCCTTACTTAGAATAGGTTTTATTGGATTCAGTTTGATTCATTTTACTATGTTTACTAGTTTATGCGCTGATTAAGTTAGGTTTCAGAATTAGTTTGCTCGACATGTTTTGTATTTAAATAATGAAAAGCTTTGCTGCTGTTTTATGCTATTATTTGTAACTTACAGGATTTGGATTCGTGGAAAATTGAGCAAAATCTCTTCTTATTCTAGCCTGTAGAGGTTAAACTGTTAAAAACACAAATTGTCTTATATTTTAAGAAAATTTTAAATTTAGAAAATTATTGCTATTATATCAGTTCAGAAAAAGGCTGTTCCATTCACTTCTTTGGACATCCCAACTCCCTGATGATGATGTAGCGAGAGAGTAAATTTATATATATATATATATATATATATATATTATATATATCATTGCGACACGACAACTAGCCAGAAATTAATTAATTTCCATTCACTAGTATTTTCAAAAAAATCTTAACAGAGACGGTCTCTCTAGATAAGACTCCCAAAATACATCCCTCAAGAATTCAAGTCCCCCCCACTACCATAAATTACATCACTTAAGTCTTACCGACTGATATTATTCCAAGCCCCTACTGCCGCTAAGAATTTTCGCACCCTACACTTCTGAGTCAGACACGAGAGAACACTTGCAAACTCCCCACTAGAAAGAATGTAAGTTACTTAATACCTTTTCTGGCCTTTATATCTTCATGTACATTCACTGATCTTATATATATTATTTTCTATATTATTTTTTAATTTTTTTATTATCTTTGATTTGTTTTTACAAAGTTTGCATTATTTATCTTTTTTTATAATCTTCTATGTTTATTTCAACTTTACTTTGAATTCGATTTCATAATGACAATTTCCAATGTTTAATTTCTACAAATAATATAGTACTCAATGATTTTTACTCCAAATTGAATTGACTAAAATGCTTCATAAAAATAAGTTCTTTGAGTATCAGCATTGGTTCATAATTCCCACTATTCGCGGAAATATTTGGCCTGACTAGAATTGCCGGTTTGGCTTTAACTTATAACTCGAGTAAAGACGAAACACTTTCGTATTTACGTATTTTTATCAATTATTGTTCATTGACAGGAGGTTGGTTTGTTCCCCTTGAAAGTCAACTAATTTCCGATCAATGACAATGATTACATGTTTTAATTTTTCCTTTTACAATTGAAATATTATTCTTCGTGATGATTTAAACTCCAGTCCCGGTTAAAACATTATTAACATTTTTTGCTTTCAAATTACTTACTTCAAAACATCTTTCAAAATATAACTTACCAGTATGGATGCACACTTTAAAATAATTCTACTTTAATTAAACTTAGGAGTAATATAATCAATTAATCAATATTGTTTAGGAAATAAATTATATATATATATATATTATTATTTGGAATACCATTTTGTTTTGCACCAAGTATTACTTTTTTCCCGCACTTTTCAAGCATTTATTGCACTGCTGATCTTCTCTCTGCACTAGTCTATTTATGCACTGTGGTGTTTAATGATTAATCAAAACATTTTATTTTTTACTATTATAACAGGAACCAGTTTTAATGTGTATTGGTTTTAGTGCTTTTTACATTTTAAATATTAACACAAGTTGGTGCAGCTAAAGCACATAATTGCTTATCACCTTATTTATAAATTCAGAAACCTGGCTCTGTCGAAAATTCTTCTGGCTGCTCATTGAAAAACACCAAATAAATTTTAACTCTTATTTTTTATTTAGTATATAAGATTGTATGAATATTATTGATTTGATTCGCTTTTGCTTCTGTTCCTGTTAATGAATTTGCCACTACGTAATATTGAATTTATGTTTGTGTTTAGTATCTCTTGATTATACATACATTTATGTATATATTAAACAAATATTCTCTATTATATAAAGCTAATTTAAATTTTAAACTATGAAAATTCAGTTGTATACAAATAAAAATTAATTATTGCTGCGAATTAATTTGCAATATCATTTAAATTTAGAAACTATACGTAAATAAATGCAAACTTCTAAAAACATGATAAAATAATTAGTAAGTAAAATTAAAACTTACTATTTACTTGTCTTTTAAGTATTATTTTTGTATTTTTATAGATTGTATTTAGTATATTTTGATTTACATGCATAATTCATGTCGGGGAAGTTCCATAATAGGCAAAGGGTTTCTAAATTACTTTGGAATTATACTCTTAATTACATTAGCAATGGACTTTTAATTAAAAAATTGTTTTCCAGTCGATTTGCTTACTAAATTTTTCAAAATTCTGTTATAGTTAAATTTCTTTTTAAGCTATTCAGTACTTTTGGTTATACTTTTGGTTTTGAATAATTTACTCATGCTTATATGGATGACGAAACACGAATTAAATAAATGGAGAGTTAGGTTTGGAGGCAACTTCCCCTTGAAAAGATCCGTCTCCTGCCTGCTCAGCAATTATTCACTTTATACAATTAAGTAAGTCTTAAAAAAATTAAAAACTTTTAGGATTAATTTTTGGATTATTAAATATTTTAACATATTTTTAGATACTTAATTTACATACGCTTTCGCAATTTAAATGTTATTGCAAATTAATTCGCGGCAATAATTAATCGTTTATTAATATACAATGGAATTTTCATAGTTTAAAATTTAGATTAGCTTTTGTAAGCGAGAATATTTGTTAAATTCAATTTGTTAAATTACATTCCTTGCAGCAATGGTGCAAGAGAATTCTTAAATTATTTATTTAACTTTACTTTTAATTTCTTATGAAACATTTAATTACGTCAGTATCGTTGTATTGAATTTTGCTTTTGTTTCTGTTCGGATTAATAAGTTTGCCACTATGTAGTATTAAATTTATGTTTAATCTCACTTAATCATACATATATACACACAAACACATATACGTATGTATCTCTCTATATATAACCTTTATATAACAGCTTAATAATTTAATTTAGCAATAGGCTCTCAATTCTTCAATTTTAATTTCGGCATTTCCGATCTTTTCTAAAATCGTAATAGTTTCTCTGGACTGCGTAATTTCTATATTAAACTGTCACATGGCTTGCGTAACACTGATAATGTACCTGAATTAGGTACGTCATCAGCGTCATCTAGAAACCTGAACTCAAAATTTGAGAACTGAAACATTTCTCTTAATAAGCAGCCTAAACCAAAACCTTCTCTTGGTGAACCTCCATACTGGATAATTGCGCACTTTTCCTTCTACCTCTGTTGCCCCCAGGATGCTACTTCGCTGACTCTCTTTCTGTCGCAACATTATTAAAATATAAATAATCTGGAAGATAGGCGCGATTGCAGTGCTAAGTGAATTACGGCCACAAATATCAATTGAAGTAAAAATGAATATTTAATCTTCCTCGGATACTACGTTTGTTGTTCATTACAGATTCAACGTTATACGTTCTACGCCATCAACATTGCTACGTCCTTTTCATCGCAATGCTGCTAAGCGTTTTCATCAAATAGTATATATTTATTTTTAATTATTCATTTTCTTTTTTTTTGATTGTCTTCTAGAAAAGGAAGCGCATAAAACTACCGCAAATTGTAATTAGGAAAATGAATTCCTAAGATTACAGTGATAAAACTATTAAAAACTTGTAAAAAAATTTAGAATTTTAAAATTTGTAATGGTATGCATGAGAAACATATATTTTAAAATAGTAAAATAAAAAGGAATAGTCTATACATAAAAAATGAAGTACATAATACAACAATAATTTACATTACATGTAAATGACATAATTTACATTACATGTAAATTATTTTTGATTTCTTGGTTTATCAAAGCGAAACTTTCCTCTAACAAAATATTCGCAATAATTTGCATATGATCCCGTTTCGTCTCCTTCTCATGTTTGAGTTAATTCTTTTCTAATTACGAAAAACTATTATATAAAATTTGGATTTAAATTAATAATTTTCAAAACAGCCGAAAGTAATTCTCTAACATAATCAAAAATGATACATATACAAAAAGATTTTTTTTTATAAAAAATAACGGCTAATACAGATGTATCAATTAAGAACAGTCAACACGTCTAAGCAAACGTAAGAATATAGTACAATTTTAAATCCTATATAAATAAAATTTCTTAATTGCATGCTTATACAAAAATATATATGCCAAGAAACATCTTTTTATTCCTAACGTGCAGTTTAAACTCTATAGCTGCACATGTCAATCTATTGTTTTAATCGGAAAGGATTTTCATTGGAACTGACGCTTGAGGGTGCATGCGTTTACATAAAAGATGTGGGATGCATATTAATTTCTGAATTAAAATATTTTTATATATTTTCTCCCCTCTCATATGTCTATATTTACATCAACTGTCCTGAAAATCAATTTATTTTTAAAAATACTTGCATTTCTGTATTTATTCTTATATTTTGCAAAGCGTCCTCTCAGGATTACACTTATTTTCACTAATCCTACTTCATTTTTTCCTTATTGTGTAAAAACGTTGTTACTTTAATAGGTTTCTCTTATGAACATGTCACATTCATTTCTAATCCCTCTTGAAACCATACATATCAGTTTAAGTTTCCCGAACTAAACAGGTTTGATGAAACCGAACAGCTGATAAAATTTTTACATTTAGTCAAAAATCTGTTAAATCAAGAATTTATTCCATATTCATTTTAAAACCTTTCTGTTGTGCTTTTAAAATATCCATCGCTTAGT